GGGGGGATCGAAAGAGGAGGTCTCCCCCACCACTGTACCATAAAAAGTTCGTGGCGGTCTCACCCCCATAAAAAGTTATGGGGGTTCAAAGTTAATAAATATGCCAATTTTTATACATTTGTAGGCATGTAAATATTTACATAGTCATTCTTAAATAATATTCATAGGTAAAAGTAATGAAAAATACAAAAGAATATTGAGAGTGTTATAAAAAAATTATTTAAATATCTTTATCAGTAGGGTAGGTTAGGTTAGGTTATCGGGTTTTGTTCAAGTGACCACCCTCTTTCGATCCCCCACCTCGACCCGCTTGAAAATATTTCTTTTATTGAATTTTATTTGAATTATAGTGTATGAAAATTGTCAAAGCAATCAACTTTCGACCCCCATAACTTTTTATGGGGTTTTACTCAGGTGACCACCCTCTTTCGATCACCCCTACCCTCTTTCGATCCCCCTACCTCCACCCCCATCTAACCCACATAACTTTTTATGGGGGTGAGACCGCCACGAACTTTTTATGGTACAGTGGTTTGGGAGGCCTCCTCTTTCGATCCCACCCACCCCCATCCCCTTAGGTGGTGGGGCCCATCATCTAGACATTTACCAAATTAACTGTTGAAATTATGAGAAAAATAACTTTGATTTTAAAACAATATCTTTGTGAATATATATGAATAATATTGTTTTCTGTCAATGAGTTTACAATTATGAGTTCAAAAAAATGTCCATCATGGCTCTAAATCCAATATGGAGATATAGAATTTTATATGCGGCCCACGGAGATATGATTTGGGTTGGCCACCCCTACAGCAAATTCTTAATGAAGTATTTCGATTAAAATCAAAAGTACATTTTCAGACGTACTTAATTCAAAAACAACATAAAAAGAAAAGCAAAGCACTTACCTTGTGAATTGTTGGTACTTCCCCTGGGAGCGGCAAGAGCCAGGATCGTCAGCAAGCTGATGGTACCAAGGAAAATCGCCGATTTGGAGGAGCACATTTTTCGCTAAGGAAAATTCACTTTATATCGACGAACTTACTTTCGCGTCGACTAAACGACATATTAGTAGTACTACCGATAAAAACCACGCCCGAATGTACCGAAAAACTTAATAAACCCGCACGAAAAGTTTCATGTCATTTTTCGCAGTCCAGTTACAAACTCCTGCTTCCTGTCGACGCGTTAACTTGCACTTTACCTGCGACGAAAAGAAAAACATAATTAATAGGCAAATGTCTCTCCCATGTGCGAAAATTAATACATAAATGAATAATTTATACGAACGAATTGGTCTGCGGCAATTCATCGGCGCAAAGGGCCCCGATTAATAATTCAGAAAACGAAAACGAAGCAAAACTTACGTTCGACCTACCTGCCGTTTCTTACCCTCAACGGCAGGGGAAAATTAAGTAAGAAAACCGAATTAAATATTAAAGAGTGACGAGAAAATTTGATGACAATTTTAAGAAGACGATGGCATGTGTATTAAAACAAAAGCCGTGAATAAAAACAGCCTCTCTAAAATTTTAAAGCTCAGTCTGCTTTCAATATTAAATTTTTCCAACCACGTATGTTATGATTTATTTGAAATTAAATATAGAATACTTGCTTCCATTTGCTGTTTTAATTGCCTTTTTCTAAATAATAATTAAAACAATATCGATCAATCTGCTTTCAAATCAAATCACTACGCGAATGACTCAACCTCAACTCTATCGACATTTGCTATAAATAGAAGAATTCGTGCCTAATCGGATCTTTTCGTTTCCATTCGCGACTGATACACTCACACACTATTGATTATTAATTTACTAATGATAATTACCGAAAAACTGTATCAGACGTTTCGACGTTCACGTAACAGAATGTATAATATGCCTGTTGGAATAGTTCTTACACTGATTTCTTATTTTAAAACTATATAATGATCCAATTGGAGTTGATTATAGCGGTAATGTCAGACAACAACAATTTTATTAGATTAATACCATAGAGAAATAATATTGATGAAATATATCTGTATCATGTTCACATATACTATAGATGATAAAAATTGACCTTCACAACTTTTGTTAATCGCGACTTTGCTTAAAAATGAATATAGACTTTCTCCAAGTAACAGGCAAATATATTCCTTATATTTAGCACCCCCTAGTTCAGTGAAAATTTGGTAAAGGTCTAGATGGATGGGGGGGTGGGGGGATCGAAAGAGGAGGTCTCCCTCACTACTGTATTTTAAATAGTTTGTGGCGGTCTCACTCCCATAAAAAGTTATGGGGGTTCAAAGTTAATAAATATGCCAATTTTTATACATTTCTAGGCATGTAAATATTTATACAGTCATTCTTAATCAATATTCAAAGGTAAAACTAATGAAAAATACATAAAAATATTGAGAAAGTTATATAAAACATTATTTAAATATCTTTATCAATAGGGTAGGTTAGGTTAGGTTATCGGGTTTTGTTCAAGTGACCACCCTCTTTCGATCCCCCACCT